CACCTACAATCCCTGCCGGTACGAGACTCGAACACACAACCTTTGAGATACGAGTCCGACTCTCTAACCATTAGGCCACGACTTCCCCAAACACTTGATCACTAAATTAATATCAGACATTTTTAAAAACCAATGACAGGGAGTGGTCACGGTGAAACATCCAATCATTTGGTATCTCTGAAAAGCCCTGAATGTGCTCTGAGACGTTACATGTCACAGTTTTAAGTCTGGAGTCCTGTACAGAGAAATCACTAAAGCATAATGTCCTCTACAGAGAACAACACTCCATAGCTGGTAGTCAGGAGGATATATTAAACTATAGAGTTAAAAAAGGAAGGGGGGAAAAAATCTGGGTTTCCTTATATTTAACGGTTTTTAATATATACGTAAATGAATGTAGTTGTTTGCAGTTAAAAGTTTAACGGGTGGTTTTGGAGTAAAGGTCTTTGCATTCTGAGTCCAAAATGTTCGTATACGTTTTTGTGGCATGCGTCATCCTAAAAATTCATCACGCACAGAAACCTTGCACACTGAGTCCGATGCATATTAATTAATTCGCAAAAAAAAAAAAAATTTGAAAAATTAGCAAAACGTAGAGAGGAAGGAGAGTTCCACCTCATCAAGGAGCTGTGGGATTATCCTGAGTGACTCAAAGTTTACTACAGGATTTTGATGCTTTGGTCGCAACACTAGAGCCACATATTTTAATAGAAGACCACCAATTTCCGTGAACCAGTTGTTCCTGAACAGAGACTGGCAGCATGTCTAAGGCATGGACACACACGCACCAAACTGTGGCATCGGAGAGGAGCGCGCCAGGCATTGAAACCAGCATACAATTATGGCTTTCGCCTCTACGGTGGCTCGGAGTTGTGCGAAAAACGGAGAAAATCAAACCCGATCCAAATCTTTTTTCTTATGACTGATGAAAGTTTCGAAGGCAGCGTGTAAACGTGATTGACACGTGAGGTCGTATTTATTTTTTAATGTGTGAACATTTCTCGGTGTGCATTGCAATGACCTTAAGGTCAGTTTCTCTTTCATGAGATTGCTTCCTCTTTTTGGCCGGGTTTCGTTTCTCCGTGTTGTTAACTCTAGGGGCGAGGCTTCTAAACGTTTTTTTAGGGCGTGATTAGTCAAATTACAATTGTTTTCGGACTTCATATTTATCAACATGCGATCATTCGTACGATGAGATTGGCGGCATACGAATGTTTCATGAATCACACGTGAACTGTCGTAAGTTGATCTGTGCGCACGGATCTGTGCGCGTTTCTACGCTAGATTGATAAATGAGGCCCATTGATCGTGAATGCAGTTTCGTGTTGACTTGACCGTTTGATGGTTTGTGTTGGTTGATCTGCAGGAGGGTCAGACAGAGCTGAGGGAGATGACCGCTGTGTCGCTGGACAAGCTGCTGGAGGGTCACAGTGCACTGCAGCTCCAGCAGTGGGCTCTGAAGGAAGGGCAGGAGCAGCTGGATGCCTCCATCAGTGAAAACCTGCAGAGACTGGCGCAGGAGAAAGCTCTCATCAGTACCGGCCAGCAACTGGTGGCTCAGTTAATTCAGGGCATTACACAGAGAATGGGTCAGTCACAGAAAAATGCATTTGCTTCAAGGCTGACCTGTGAATTCTCACTTCATATAGTAACTAGGTTAACATTATCTGTTGTTCTTCACTTGTCATATCACAATCATATTTGATCGTCAGTGGTTATGGAAGGTTTTATATATTTCTGTAACACATTTACAGAGAACGTAAGTGGGCAGCTGAAGGGTCAGAGTGCAGAAGTGCAGGAGGGACATCAGGCGATTCTTGATGACCTGGCTGTGGTCCGAGGAAGTGCTCAGGACATCTACGAAAAAATGGGTAATTACTTCTGAAATCATACGCTACCGGTCAGACGTTTGGAAGGATTGCCATGTTATTTGTTTCTTTGTTTTTTGAATTGAGTCTCTTCTGCTCCCCAAGTTTGCATTTATTTGATCACAAATATAGTGTAAACCAGTCATCTGGTGAAATGTTACGGTTTATAACAACTGCTCTATTTGAATGTTTTAAAATGTAGTTTATTTCTAGGATCAAAGCTCCAGTCTTCAGTGTCACATGATCCTTCAGAAATCATTATAATATGCTGATTTACTGCTCTATTATCAATTATTAATAACGAGTGTTTGGAACATGGGAAACAGTTATTGGAAACATTGCTTTTGCTGCTTATTATTTTATTTTCATTCATTTGATCTATCTGTCTGTCCATCTTCTTTTGTGGAAACAGTGATGCTTTTTTTTCACGGTTTGTAGACTAATACATTATAGAAAGTTGTATATATTTGCATCTTGCATTTAATTGTTTCTTGGTATTTAATTATTTTTTTTTTGCATTAAAGGGGGTCATATGATGCGATTTTCACATTTTCCTTTCTCTTTGGAGTGTTACAAGCTCTTGGTGCATAAAGAAGATCTGTAAAGTTGCAAAGACTAAAGTCTCAAATCCAAAGAGATATTCTTTATAAAAGTTCAGAGTCAGCCACACCTACCTAAAACGTCTCGTTCTAACATGCCCCCACATACCTACGTCACTATGTGGGAAGATTTGCATAATGCCGCCCAAATGTTCACGCAAAGAAAGAAGGCGTAACTTTTATTCTCGCTGTAGTATTGTTGCTGCCGCCATGTCGTGAAGACGCTGTGTGTTTCGTTGTGAAAGCGAAACTACTTTGTTTGGCCTTCCAAAAGAGGACGATATCCGCTTCGTCATGCCTAGAGCTGATCCGTGCTGGTCGCTGAGGAAAAAAAATTGACGCGTTTCAGAAAGGCGGGGCATAGAGGAGAAACAATAATGTACAGTATTTTTTATTATTTTTTTTACCTTAAACCGCATAAACACATTTCATTACACCAAATAATGTTCTTTTTAGCAACATCATATGACCCCTTTAAGGAGTTTTTACCATTAATATATGTATAAGAATTTCTTAAGGTAAATTGGATATTGTATGGTGCTTTTTTGTGCCTGTGCGCATATGATGTCCATGGTGAATGTTGATGTTTTAATAGGTGCAGGTGTGCACTAATCAATGTGGCGCTGAGGAAGGTTTTGCACCTTTGTACACCTTTTGCACTTGTTTTTTACGGCCTCTGTTGAAGCGTTGAATAAAAAGCTTTGCAAATATCCAAAACACATTAGCACTATTTCAGCTAATAATATACTCACATGGTCCTGTCTGTTAATCCTGTGATCCAGAGCTCAATCTGAACGGCTTCCTGCAGCAGCAGAACACCACGGCTCGGTTCTACTCTGAGCTCATGAGCACGCTGGAGCGCATGAACGGGACTCTGGGATACATGCTGACGTATCTGGACAATATGCAGAATCGCCTGGAGGACAGGCTGCAGATGATCCAAGGCTATCTTGGCTGGGCAGGTGCTTGCATTGTGTACGAATGAATAAACAAGAAGAAGAAACCTATTTGAATACGCTTTGGATAAATGTGTAATTCTCCTCCTAGGCCTGAGCCTCCGAGCTCTGTGGACGTGTGTGATGCATGCTGGTTACTTCCTGTTGTCTGCGGTGCTGCTGTCGTTCCTGCAGTGTGCCACGTTCTCCCGCGTCTCTCTGCTCCTCATGGTGCCAATCAATGCGATCGCAGAGATCAACCAGCAGTCTGCGCTCGACTTGGTCTCGCTCACTTTGCTGCTGTTCACACTTTCGCTAGGTACTGTATCTGTACTGGGAACAAATGATTCATCTATGCACTTTTAAACACTTACGATGGTGTTTTGAGGTGAAGTGTTGTTTCTGTACTGCTGCTGACCAGTGTTGGGGAAAGTTACATTTAAAAGTCATGCATTACAATATTGCGTTACTCCCTAAAAAGTAACTAATTAGTTACTTTTTATGGAAAGTAATGTTACATTACTTTTGAGTTACTTTTTAAAACTGGGCAGGGCTTGCTTGTTTGTTTTAATATAAAAAAAGTTAGTTTACAAATGTAAAAGCCCTTTCACAACAGAAGTGAAATGAATACGCCTCAGGCTGAAGGAAATGTAAATTCACGTCTGTACAGTAGAGGGTGCAGCTCTAACAAATTGAAGAATATGACGCAGGAGAAGAAAGTTCAACACTATTCAGCAATAACAAAAAGGAAACACAAATGTGTCATTTTTGCTTGTTAGTATGGTTGAATTAGATCATCGAAGGTCAATAGCAAAGACATTGGTTAATAAAATGGGATTAAATACAAATTATATTTGTCTTATTTAACATTTAATTATTGCAGGTTTATATAATAATCTGAGTTTCCATTTGACTGTTTTTATTGATTTTGAGGAACACTGAATGTGTTTGTGTGCAGGTGAGATGAGTAAACACATGTTCATATTTAGTCTAGAACTACAGTAAGATCACATTCACACACAGCACTCTGCACTTACTCCTGATTTCGGTCACCACGGCAACACCAGAGCTGTCGCTCAAGTAACTAGCGTTACTTATTTGAAAAAGTAACTCAGATATTTACTTCTAAATTAAAAAGTAATGCGTTACTTTACTAGTTACTTGAAAAAAGTAATCTGATTATGTAACTTGCGTTACTTGTAATGCGTTACCCCCAACACTGCTGCCGACACCATATGAGGTTAGTTGGACAGTCATGAGGTGCTCTCATACATGCAGTCTTTTGCAGAAAATTACTGGTAAATTACCATTAGTTCATGCCTGTCATCTTAAGGTTCTTGTACTTGTGGTCCAGGCCGCTGGTTTGTCCTGCAGGTGCTTTGGGCGTTATCTAAAATGAAGGGCCAGACCTGCAGCGCCGCTCCTCTCTCTATAGGTCCTCCTAAAGAGAAGACACCAGAAAAACCGACCCAAACAACTGAGCGCTGCCATGCGGAGTGCTCCTCCACTCCTGTCCCGTGAGTTTACTATTGTGGAAGAGCGAGGAAACGAACCGTTAACTCGCAACATCTCTTATGTTTTAATGCCGTTTCAGGCTTAAACATGCTGTTGTGTGCTTACAATGTTTGTTTAGGGTTTTAATTCTCCTCTTGTTGTAGGAATGACCCAGTCTGTGATTTGGAGGTGGAGAGCTTCATGATGGGTAATTGTGTCTTTTGTTCCAAAGTCACTGTCCAGTACAGTTCTGCGGCTGATCAACTGGCAATGCGTACATTAAAGAACACAGATTGCGTTGGTCATTATGGAAATGATCCGTCTATCAAGAGCAGTGCAAAGTAGCGCACGGTCCCAAACAAGCAGAGCAAAACAAATGTGGCTAATTGGCAAATTATATGTTTGGATAATGCCTTCCTCTGGAATTCCAAATAAATTAATATAAGTGGGAAGATTCTCTCCCTTCGACTATGCACTCTGTTCTCTGCAGTGCCTCCTTCTTGCGTCAAGCACAGAATGGGTTAAGACAGTGGTTCACAACCTTTTTCCAACTGGCGGCCCACACAACCAAACACATATGTTTCCACGGCCCACTGCAAAAAAATTAACTGACCCCGCTATTTGTTGGGTTAATAACGGAGTACTCAGAAGCTAGATTGTTAACTGTCTTTATTGAATG